ATAGTCACTTATTCATATCTCCCTAGGAGGGGTCACACAACGTTATTTTTACAGTAAACTATAGAATCTGCACATGGAAGGAATACATTCTAAAATAATAATAAAGAGATAGGATAGCAGACACATAAACTAGAAACACAGTCACTTGGTAATATGTGCTGCATATGATTGCATGCACTGTATTTTTAGATGACACAATCAGCTTGCTCATCCTAGCATCACCACAAACACATGACTAATGCATTGATGTGTTGCATTAAGACATCTAACATGACTGCAACATGTCACTAGGCAACAATAATTGTCAACTCCCTCATAATCTCCTGGGATTGACATTGTATGTACGGCTCATTGTCAAAAAAGTCATCACAGGGCTCATGACTGTATTTTACAAAACTGGAAGAGAGCACAGAAAGATTAAAATACAATTAATATGTGGCATATGCAGACCACTAGGGGATTATTAAGAGGCAGTGATGAGTTTAAAGGGGCTGGAGAGATGGCTCAGAAGTTAAGAGCACTTGCTGCTCTTCCAGAGAACCCTCCTGACAGCTTACAACCCTGTAACTCCAGTTCCATAGGATGTGTCTTAGTTAGAGTTTCTGTTGCTGTGAAGAGACACCATGACCCCAGTAACTCTTATAAAGAAAAGATTTAATTGTGAGGCTCACTTACAGTTCAGCATTATCATCATAGAAGGACACAGCAGCATGCAGGAAGACATGGTGCTGGAGAGGTAGCTGTTACACGTTGAAATGCAGGCAACAGGAAGTAGACTGAGACACTGGGCAGTATCTTCAGGATATATGAAACCTCAAAGCCTGTCTCCACAGTGACACATTTCCTCCGACAGGACCATACCTACTCCAACAAGACCACACCTCCTAATAGTGTCACTTCCTTTGGGGACCATTTTCTGTCAAACCACCATAGGAGGGAACTTCCCATTTTGGCCTCCATGAGCACTTTGCACACAGAGTGTATACACAGTGTGTGTGTGTGTATATATACAAGCCTCCATGCACATAAAACAAGAAAACAATAATTTTTAAAAATAAAATCTAGTTAAAGTCAAGAAAAAATGAATTATGCAATACAGTAGAAATGGTACAAATGAAAAAACATATCACAAGAGACAAGAGACCCATCTTGGAAATGGATACTGGAGGTGTATAGCAGTATTCAAACACTTGAATACAGTTTGGTATTTTGTTCATTTGAGCTGCGTTGCTCAGACTCTTTCTTGACTTTCTTTCAAGTCTGGCTTGCATGGCCATTCGCAGAGTCCTGTTAGACCCAAGGGATCTACATACATGGAGTCACTTATTTTCCTCTCAAAGTAGAAAGGGGAGTTTTTATGTTGATTTTTACATAGAATGACATGGTTTTGTATTGTCTGTTTCTTGCTACTATTCACTGGTACAGTGAACATTATCAAATAAATCCTGTGAATAGTTAGCCTTAGCAACACTGATAGCCCATGATCCTTAAATCCAATAGGACAGGAATCCATTTGGAAATCCTTAACATTCTTCTTGTGGCATTTTTGTCTTTTAGTTTGCCTTATCAGAGACACAGATTCAACTACATTTTCTTGGTACAGTAATTTTATGGAAAGGTGAATTAATAAAACCCACTTCTAAGGAAAATTACAGTCTAACTAAGGAGTAATAAAACATTTAAAACAGCAAAGCAGAACCCAACAAGTATCATGAGTAATGTGCAGATAAAAAAAAAAAAATCACGTGAACCGTTTTAGGGGCCAGAGAAATGGCTCAGTGTTAGGGAATGGTTTTTTGTGCACTGTGAAGATGTGTCTTTGCCAATTTGCCTTCTGATTGGTTTGGTAAAATGCTGACTGTCCAGGAGGAGGTTGAGCAGGAGAGCTAGACTGAGAGGAGGCTAGGGGGAGGAAGGGCAGTCACAGGGAGTCTCCAGCCAGATTCCAGGGGAGCAGGAGATAAACATGCTGTGCTAAGGGACGGGTGCTGCCATGTGGTAGAGCATGGATGAGGAATGTGGGTTGATTTGAGATGTGGGAGATGGTTGGTGGTGGGCCTGGGCTATCAGCTGGACATTTACAACTGGTGGTGAGTCTCAGTGTGGTTATTTGGGAGCCAATGGTCCCAATGGAAAAACTCCATCTACAGCTCTGAGGTCAGGAGCACTTTCTGCTCTTGGAAAAGACCCAGTTTTGATTCCCAGCACCCACATCAGGCAGCTCCCAATGCTTATAACTCCAGTTCTAGGGATCCAACACCCTGTTCTGGCATCCATGGGCACTTGCATACATGTGCTGCACATAGCTTCATATAGTCACACACACACACACACACACACACACACACACACACACACACACACACACGAACATAAAAAATGTAAAAAGATTTCAGGATTAACTTTCAAGTACAAAGATTAAAGAATTAGAAGATATTGAGATAGGTCTTGAATAGTGAGCACTATTCCAAGAAGCAGAAAAAAATGCTGTGGATATCGCTCTGTTTAAATGAAATGCTGATTGGCCAGTAGCCAGGCAGGAAGTATAGGTGGAACAAGCAGAGAAGAGAATTCTGGGAACAGGAAGGTTGAGTCAGGAGATGCTGCCAGCTGATGCCATGAGTGCCAACATGTAAGATACTGGTAAGCCATGAGCCATGTGGCAAGGTATAGATTTATAGAAATGGGTTAATTTAAAATGTAAGAACTAGATAGCTAGAAGCCTGAGCCATTAGGCCAAAGAGTTTAAATAATATAAGTGTCTGTGTGTTTACTTGGTTGGGTCTGAACGACTGCGGGACTGGTGGATGAGAGAGATTTGTCCTGATCATGGGCCAGGCAGGACCAGGAAAACTCTACCTACAAGAAACAAAACAAAACAAAAAAAAACCAACCAAACAAACAAACAAAAAAAAAAAAACACCAAGGAGGAAAGCAAGCAGAGTAAAAGGCATTGGTTTCTCAATTCATCCAATGTTACTTGTTAAATAAGGGATGACAGTGTGTACAGGGTTGGGAAGACAGTGGTCAACCAGATGGACATAGACAAGGTAGACAAATCCATGGACTTATGGACCCACGATCTTATGGAAGAGGACAGGGCACAAAACCAGAATTAAAATTCAAAATTGTTACATTGTTTCAGATAGAGATAAAATGAGACACAGGAAATAAACAGGTCATGTGATTGGTTGGGTGAATGCTGTGGGCATGAGCAAGCTTTTAGTTAGGAGATTACGAGAAAGGCTTTCTGAAAAAGTGTGTTTTTACCAAAGCCAGTTAGACAAGAGGTGGCCAGTGGAGGGGGACAAGAAGGCAACAGCTCTACAGAGCTGGTTTAAGGAATAGTGCACGTGCTGAGTGGGATAAGGGCACGTGCCCAGGGGGTAGGGGTTGTGTCCTGAGAGACAAAGCACAGAAAGTCTTCGGTTTTACTCTAGAAGCAATGAGATTATCATCATTGTGTATAGGTGTGTGCATGTGTGCGCACTTATGTGTATATGTGTGTGTGCCTCTGTGTGTGTGTGTGTGTGTGTGTGTGTGTGTGTGTGTCCATTCCACACAGACAGCTCAGCAGAACTGAAGAAATTGGTAGCCTGCCAGGAGAAAGGGGAGAAAAGAATATTTAGTAGGGCCAAGAAACAAATTCGCTCAACTTCAGAGAGACAGGAAGAGGAAATGTCTTTAAAGAAGACAGAAAATAGATCACAGAAGGTCAAAAAGACAAGAAGTCCCCCATAAACGGTAGGATGATCAGTGGCGTCTTCGTTAGAGTTTCTATTGCTATGATAAAGCATCATGACCAAGGGCAACTTAGGGAGGAAAGAGCTTTTATGTCTTAATCTTACAAGTCACGGTCCATCACTGAAGGCAGTCAGTGTAGGAACCTGGAGGCAGAGATTGAAGCAGAGGCCATGGAGAGGTGCTGTTTACTGGCTTCCTCCCATAGCTTGTTCAGCCTGCTTTCTTATAGAACCCAGGACCACTAGGTCAGAGGTGGCCCCACCTACAAAGGGCTGGGCTTTCCCACATTGATCATCAATCTAGAAAATGCTTTATAGATTTACCTATAGGTCAATCTGATAGAGAATTTTCTCAATTGAGGTTCTCTTTTCCAAAATGACTAGATTGTGTCAAGTTGATATAAAACTAGCCAGCACAACTAGTATTGGAGTGTTAGATAACACTGGGAAAAATTAATCTTTTTAAGTCACTGTGATAATCTACAGGTTAATTTAAAGGTGATTCTCCCCTAGTTGACTTGCAGGTGTAGAACTCAAGATCTATTCTCGGGATCAGCAAGATGGCTCATTGGGTAAAGACACTTGACAGCGAGCTTTCAACCCAAGTTTGATCCCTGGACCCACACACTGGAAAGAACCAACTCCAGCAAACTGTCCTCTGACCTCCATAGATTCACTGTGGAATGTGTACTTACACACACACACACACACACACACACACACGCACGCACGCACGCACGCACGCACACACACACACACACACAAATAAGAAAGAGAGAGAGAGAGAGAGAGAGAGAGAGAGAGAGAGAGAAGGAACAAAGAAGAGAGAAAAAGAAAGAGAGAAAGGGAAAGAAAGGAAGGGATGAAAGAAAGAAGGGAAAAAGGAAGGAAGAAGGAAATATTTTTAGAATAGCCATTCAATGAACAGAGCTTTCCTGTCCCAACCACCTGGTCCCAAATACTCACTCAGAGGCTTATATTAATTACAAATACTTAGCTGATAACTCAGGCTTGTTACTAGCTAACTCTTACATTTAAATTAAACCATTTCTATTAATCTATGTATTGCCACATAGCTCGTGGCTTTACCTGTCCTCTAGCATGTCTTGCCTTCTAGGTGACTGGCTGGCATCCCTCATGACTCCCCTGACTCCTCCCTTTCTCCCCCCATCATTCTCTCTGTGTTAAGCTGTCTTGCCCAATCTCTTCTTGCCCTGCTATCGGCCAATCAGATTTTTATTAACAATGAGCATAATCCATAGCACCGTTCTAAGATGGCTCCATCAGTATACACTCAGAGGTGTGAAGAATCTGTTGTCAAATACTTGAGAACTCCCATGTTCAGTCAGTTAATTGATGGGCATTAGTGGACAAAGGGGTTTTGGTCCTGGAGTGATTTCTCACCATTCATAATCTAAAGTCCTGCCCCCAAGGCATCCTCTAGTTCTCAGAGCCTCCACCTCCTTTTTATCTGTACCCACAGCTAACTCATTTAGTAAATACTCAAGTTTGGTGGCATATATACATGAAGCCGACTAATCCTCCAACACTATGCTAATCACATTGTCAAATACTGTGTCAAATTTCCCTTCCTGATTGAGCAGAAAGCTCTTCCTCCCAAACTTGCAAAAATGTTGTCCACTGGAATCCGTCAACTTTGTGTCAGACAGGAAACCTCTATTCTTCTATCACTGGAAATGCAGTCAGGTGTGAACTGAGTGTGTAGGGGGCACCTGGTTTAGCATCTTCATCCTTCTCCCTCACCTAGAGGAATTATTTTCTCCTTTCTTGTCCTTCCATTCTGCAAGCCCACATGTTGGGAAGATAAGAGAATAAGAGATGTTAAAAAAACAAATCATTTGTTCAGATGTCAAAATTTTTGTCAACTTGATACAAACCTAGAAATATCTGTGACTCAACTGGGAAACTGTCTTCAGCAGATTGGCCAGTGAACGTGTCTGTGGGACATTTTCTTGATTGATGGGGAAGAGCCCAGCCCGACCAGTGAGAGCTTCCACATCTCTGCTCATCCTTTACCAGGGGCCATGTCCTTACTGTCTCTGTACTAGTTATCTGTTGCTGTGTAGCAAATCTTCACAAGGCACTGGCTTACGAGCACTATTCCTTACCCTACAGTTTCGTGGGTTCAGAAATCCAAATATGATTTGAGTGGGCCTTTGTAATAGTAAGTCTTCATTGTCAATTTGATCTGATCAGAATCACTATGGAAACACAGCTCTATGTGTGTCTGTGGGGGCATTTCCAGAAGAGTTAACTGAAGAAGAAAGATGCACTCTAAAGTGGGCGACATCATGCCATGTGTTGGGGTCCCAGGAAAATAAAATGAGAAAGGGAACTGAGTATCAGCATTCATCTTTCTCCGCTTTCTGACTATGGATCCAAAGTGACCAGCTACCTCAAGCTTCTGATGCCATGACCTCCCCACAATAATGGACTGTCCCCTCACACCAATGAGCCAAAAAAAAAAAATGCTTCTTTCCTTAAATTGTCTTTGTCACACACTCTGTCACAGCATGAGAAATGTGAAAAATACAGTCCTGTACTTGAGATTCTCTCAGCAAACTAGGCTACCAGCCGGGGTCTCTCACAAAGCTACAGAGACTCTCCTGTGAACACCTGACTGGGAAAGACTGTTCTGAGGTCTGTGTTGAGGGGCAGGTGCAGCTCCTTGAGAGCCATCGAACTTACTGTCACTGAGTGAGAGTTACTCGAGTCTGTTACAACATGAGCCTTTCTATAACACTGCTTGAGCCATGGAGAGCCAGCTGGTAAGATAGGAACCCGGTTTTATTAATGTCACCAGGGAAGAGACCCCTTTGCCACAACAAGGACTTCAGAGTGTGATTGCTATAGCTGAGACCTGTGGGGCTTGTCTTGTCTTCTTTGGTAACCTGGCCAACCCTTCTTCCACCCCAAGCCGTCCTCTGCCGTCACCTCTGTTCCTTTACTTGGACCCTCAAAACTGAGGTTATAGAAGTCAAACCTCTTTGCTTTCCAAGTGAGGATCCTAAAAAGAAGTGGATACGAGAGGATCAGACACTTTCTCCTTGCTCACAAAGAGACACATTGTCTACTGTAGAATATAGTTACATGGGAAAAAAGATAAAAATACTAAAATCATATCATATTTATTTCAATTACATATATCACAGAGATTATACAATTAAAGCTACTATATTTATATATGTGTGTGTGTGAGCTACTATATTTTTAAAGACTTATCTGAAATCTGTTCTAATTTTACATGTTATAAATGAATTGTGCTTCTGAGCTTTACAAACTTTGAGATCAGATCTCTGAAATGATGCTTACAGAAAACCTCTGCTTCTCTTGCAATAACGCTCCGTGACCCAGGCTGGGGGGTGAGAGGGCAATTAATCAACTTCCAGAATTAGCAAAAGAGCTTTTCTACTTCATCTGCCAAAAGTGAGATTCCATTTTAGTCAATAAGAACTTTGCATTAATTCAACATTTGGATGGGGGCCAGAGTCAGTTGCAGTAAGTCTTGGTTAACTGCCGTTTGTTTCAAGTAAGAGCCAGGCAGTTTGTTTATCTTAGATGCTGGCTCGATGGGTTACTCCCCTGGGAAAATGACCTTGTTTTCATCTCAAGCTCCAGAGAAGCTTCTTGCACTGTGGAATCTTATTCTAGTATGTGCATGAAAAGTCAAAATTACAGTTCAGACTCAGCTAGCATAATTCATTTGCTTCCTTGGCAAAGGAGGTAAAATTCTTACCTTCCCTCCTTGATCTTTCCCATCCCCATTAATACAAAAACACAGAACAGTTCAAAGCTGTCAACTTACTTCATCCCATTCTACTTTCAGTTCCTACTGAAGTATGAATATGAAATACACCCCAACAGGATCATGTGTTGAATGTTTGGTTTAGGAGGTCTAGAACACTTAAGAAGTGGGACCTGGTTAGAAGTAGACCATCAGAAGTATGGCTGTGAGGCTATGCCTGGTCCAGGTTGACTTTTCACTCTACATTTCCAATCTGCTTTGAAGGACAAAACCTTACCTCCTTACGCTCCTGCTGCCTTGACTCTGCCTCACCAGGGGCCCCAAATCAAGAGTCCAAGATAACAGACAGAAATGTCTGAAACCATGAGACAAAAGAAGTCCTCTCCACACAGATTTGTTTCTGTCTTGTAGATGTAACCATCTTGTTAAATAAGAAACACAGAGCCAATGCAGAGATGAAAGCCCAAGAGGTCAGAGCTAAGAGCTAAAAAACCTTACCCTTCACTGCTGCTGCTGTCCTCTTTAGCAAGAGAGCTACTTCCTGTCTGTTTGTCTTTTTTTATAGACTTTCTATTCTGCCTTCTTGTAAACCCAACCACATGACCTCCTCATCACTGCCTGTCTATAGACCTCCAGGTTTTCTATGGTTGGTATTGAGATTAAAGGCATGTGTCTCTATGCTGGCTGTATCCTTGAACACACAGAGATCTACCTAGCTCTGCCTCCCAAGAGCTAGGATTAAAGGTGTGTACCACCACCGCCCAGCTTCTGCTATGGCTTGCTATTAGCTCTGACCCCAGGCAACTTTATTTATTAACATGCAAATAAAATCACATTTCAGTACAAATAAAATATAACCATACTGTCTGGTATTTGTCACAGCAGTGAGAAAAGTAATGTAGAAAATTGGTACCAGGAGTGGGGTTGTTGCTATGACTGGGCCTGACAGGTGACCTGAGACCTGGTTTGCATGAGTAACATAGAAAATTGAAGATGAAGGTTAGAGAAAACCTACAATGCTATGAACACAGCTTAGTAGGTAATTCAGCTAGGAATTCAAAATGTCATGAGGCCAGAATGCCAATCAAAATTTAGATTACAGTGGCTACTCATGAAGTTTCAGTTACAACAGGGATTCTGTTGTTAAATTCAACAAAAATACACATGTATGTGCTGGGAAGTAACTTTCCTACATTTGGCCCTAAGACTTTGAGGAAATGTAGCTTGATGTTTGACTAATAGACAATGAACAGAAAATTTTGAGACTGTACACATTCAAGCAGTGGTTATTGCTGTTTTTCTTGGTGTAGCATGAGAATCAGGAGCAAACAACAGAAAGACATGAAATGGTTTCAGGTTGTTCCAACAGGCCCATGTAAACTTGAAGCTAAAGTCAAACTTTGATTTCTAGAAAATCGGTGACATAGAAGAAACCAAGGATCCAGGTGGTATAGCATGTTATGTCTATAACCCAAGTACTTGGCAGGAGGATCAGGAGGATCAGGAGTTCGAGTCTAGCTCTAGTACATAGTTTCAGGCTAACCTGAGCTATATGATGAGGTTGTGCCTAGAAAGAGGGGAGAAATCTAAAGTGCCAAGAACTGGGGATATGGCTCATATTTTTTTTTATCTGGATAACAGGGAAGATGATTCCAGAGCATCACAGAAACTGGCCAGAACCTAGTCATCACAGGCTTACGGGTATGAAAGAGGAAAGACTTACAGGCTTTCTCTTGAGAATACACTACCACCTGTTTGCAAAGAGTAGCCCAGGCAATTGTTTTCTTGAGATTTGTTTCACACTGCTCATCCACTGAGGTATGTGGGGCCACTGTGGGCCAAGCAAGTGGAGTGACAACCTGTGTTAGCAGCAGTTGATACCGTCTGTGTCACATTGGTATTGGAGGAATGAAATTAAATAGAAGAGTTATAGGGTGATGGAACGGTTCTATCTAGCTCTCAAAAGAAAGACAAGGAGGGTAGATGATGTATGGCAGAGTATGATTCCCTGTAGGGAGCCCCCCAAGTGAGTGCTGTGTGAAGCCACGAGGATTAAAAATAGAATGTTTGGCCGGGCGGTGGTGGCGCACGCCTTTAATCCCAGCACTCGGGAGGCAGAGCCAGGCGGATCTCTCTGAGTTCAAGGCCAGCCTGGGCTACCAAGTGAGTTCCAGGAAAGGCGCAAAGCTACACAGAGAAACCCTGTCTTGAAAAAACAGAAAAAAAAAATAGAATGTTTGCTAAACAAACCAACAGGAGGAAAGCCAAGCTAGCCCAAGAGACAGGACCTGTGCCTGCAACCAGCAAGTCATCAGGATGGGACTGACTAAGCCCTTTGTATCTTATATCATAGCATCATTTGTCCACATGCTGAACATGAACCTGCAGGATTTAATGAATACCCTAATAGGTTTTGATCAGACTCTATACCACTGAATAGTGGAAATCTGTGCTTTTCATTTTTCAATAGCATTTGACAAAGAGTTTGCTTTGATTCTTAGAGGAGATCTCGGACTTTTTTGTTTGTTTGTTTACAATGTTGGAACTATGTAGGGGTGTCCAACCTTTTGACACTGTGACATGCTGTTGTTTTCTACAAATGTGTTAACTTCATTCATAGATATTCTAAAATGAATGTAACTTGCAAGCCACAGATTTATGTGGCAGGTAGACTTTAAAGACTCTTATAAATTGATTAAATGCATTTTTACATTCTGAGGTGGCCCTTGGGGTCCAGATGTAGAATGTTATGCATTGGTATAAAATTTCCCCTGGCTTAGTCCCCAGCTAGTAGGGCTAATTAGAAGGTTCTAGAAGTTTTAGGAGGTTGAGATTACTCTGAAGAATAGGTCACTACAGGCATGCCATTGAAGTTATACTCATTCCCCAGACTTGCTTAGTTTCTGTTTCATTGATGTCAAGCTTCACTGCCATTGTCTCATAATGGACCCAGGAGCATTGGAGCCAGGACTACAGAGTGATACCTCTGACATTATAAACCAGCACAAACCATCCTTTCCATAGGTTGTTTCTGTGAGGTATTTCACATCCATGAGAAATAACATATACAGTTTGCATAAGGTGACAGAAATAACAAGTCCCACAGTGTAAAGAAGCTTGGGGATTGCTTGTACCATGAATGGAAGCTTGTGTAATTCCTTAGACCTTGAGTAAATAATTTCATTTATATCATATAACAGTTAGCTTAAATGTCAATGACATGACCTAGAATCACCTGGGAATAGAGTCTCAATGAAAGATTATCTCCATTGGGCTGGCCAGTGGGTATGCCTGTTGGGGGAGGTGTCTTAAATGAATTGATACAGGAAGATCCAGGGCACTGTGGGTGGCATCATTCCCTACCAAGAGACTCTTGAATATATAAGAGTGGAAAAAATAAACTGAGCAAAAGCAAACAAGCAAGTGATAAATGTACACATTTGCTGCCCTCTGGTCTTGACTGTGGATGTTGTGTGATGTATTGTTTTAAGTCCCTGCCATCTTGATTTCCCTTTTATCATAGACCATAACAAAATTTTCAGTTTAGTTATACCCTTTCTCCTCTAAGTTGCTTTTTGCCTGGGTGTTTTGTCACAGTAACAGAAAAGTAACTAGAGTAGAAACTGGTGTTGAGAAAGTGGGGTTAATGTGGTAATAAATCCAGCCATGTGGATTTCATGCCTTTGGACTATTGTGGAAGAACTTGGAACTTAGGGGTAGAGAATAACGGGTCATTCTAGAAGAAGTTTAAAAGACAGAAATGCAGAGAGATACACAGACAGTGGAAGCCTAGCTCACAGAGAGGAATAAGGATCACCAGGAGCAGGGGTAGGGGCTATTTGTGTGACATTTGAACTAAGAAGATGAATGTGCGGATCATCCAGGATCTGGAGAGCCATCTGTGACTGTTAAGAGATCAGCACCAGTGAAAACATCCCATTTGGAAGTGTGACAATAGGAAAGTGTTTTAATCATAATTCTGAATCTCCTTGTTTATTAAAAACTAAACATTCTCTAAAGGTCTCTATATAACAATATAGAAATTATTAGATTAGAACATACAATTAATTGACTAACACCCAGAATAAATACTCACCATATGAGTTAGTATTTAGCGTTCTTCCTCTTAGCCTTGATTGTCTTTGAATATAAAATGCATCACTCTTGAGAAGTTGCTGGAATAATTTGGAAATCCTGGAGCCAAGTAGACTGTTTGTTTAGGCAACAGAGAAGAAATGTGAAAGAAAATCAGCAAGTCAAATCATGACTAAAATCCAACAACCCCTAAGGATTGTTGCATGGGACCACTATCTATCTGTTTTTATGTATGAGTGTTTTGTCTGCATGTATGTCTGTGAATTTCATCTGTGCAATGACCCAAGGAGGCCAAAAGAGGGCATCATCCATCCTCTAGAACTGTCAACTGCCATGTGGGTGCTGGGAACTGAACCCAGGCTGGGTCCTCTGGAAGGGCAGCCAGTATTGTTAACAATCCTTCCAGCCCCAGCATTATTCATTTGTATGCATGTAAAGATAAACATCATGAAAGTTCCAGAACTATGACTTAGTCCAAAACATGTTCTTTTTTCCTAAATCTGATTTTCAAAAGTCACTATTAGATAACTAGTAGAAAGTTTTAATTTAGGATCTAAGGAATGCAGAAAACTTGAAAGCATCCTGTAATACATTCACTGACTCAATAAGGATATTTTTACCTATAAATATTGGTCAAACTCCCAGAGGACACTGTAATCAGCCAAGTTTACTGTCCTTACTCACCATGACTTGGATGATCATCATTTTTTGCTGTCTTTTAATGTTCAAATCCAGTGTCTCTTGTTAAACTAGGAAGATAAATTTAGAAAATGAGTAAAAGAATTGGTTTCCAGAGCCAAATAACTGAGGGAGTACAAAAACCATATCCCTCCCCCCCAACACAAACACACACTGGGTTGTACTTCCAAACTAAGTGTGTGCAGTTTCGCCAGGAGATACTTCCAGTGAAAAACTCTGGTTCTAACATCACAGAAGGTATCATCCAAAAGATCCCTTTCCTTTCCTAGACGGATTTCATATCAATGAGTCCTAGGGCTCAGTTTTCAAGGGTAAAGTACAGTGATCTAGAAAGTACATGTGCAGAAGAAGTATGAAAAACTAACACTAGATTTTATTTGAGTCCAACAAACTTGATTTGTTTACTGTTTGAGTATTTGGGAATCACTGTCAGGGAGGCAAGAATAGCAGGAAAAGAAAAGAAAGACACAGATCTAGAGTATGTGAGATTATGACTTTAAAATAGATGTTCGTACAATCCCCAGTTACAAAATAGTTCAATAATTATGAAAACATACAAACTGCATGGTCAGTCACCAGCTTTGAGTTTAGAAGCCTACCCTGAGCTCAAATTTACAAATATTCTGCTAAATTAACAAATTTAGTGATAGCTAGGTTTCCCATAGGATATTTTTTCAACATACAAAGCAAAAGTAATAAACTGATTGTATCACCCATTCAATGAATTGAACCAAGAGGCAAAGAAAGCTGTGTATATCTATTTAAACACTCACCTTCTGTATTTCATGTGGGCAGAATGCACGTGAGAGAAAATCCCAGGCATTTACCCCGTATGCATCACAGCAGTGCACCCACAGAGAGCCCTCATCCCTGCATCCATGAATTATGATTCGTTTTCATTGGCTCATGTCCATTCTCAAGGCTGAAAGTTAGTGGTGTGAGCAGCGCCAGGCTAAAAGTGGACTGGAAAGAATTTGTTAGAGTATACAAGTCTAATTATCTTCTGGAGTGAGGAGCTGGGCTGCTTTATCATCCTAATTGCATCTCTTCATGGGCTGCTCCTGAAGCCCTTTAGAAGACACTTGTCCTTTTTCTGCACTGGACAGAGCTCAGTGACCAAGCCCAGGGCGTTAGTTGCTTTCCTAATCAAATGATGTTTAGATCTTAGATGTCCCTAAAGGCCCTCCTGCTGAAGGCATTGCCCTGGGTCACTACTGGAAGGCACTGGAACCTCCAGGAGGTGGGGCCTGTTGGAAGGAAGTTAGGGCCATCTTTGGAGGATGCTCGTCAAGGAAATATTGCAGCACGAATCTTAAAAGGTTTTATTAATAAAAACAAACCCGGAGCCAGGTATTGGGGTGAAAGATCAGAGAAACAGAACAAGCCACAGTTAATCTCACCTTGCCAACTTCTCAGCTAATGTTGTTTCCTGAAACTGGAAGCCTCTGAGTCCTCATGCGAATGGATCTCAGCTGAACTGCTGCTAAAAGCCTAAAAGCTTAAAAAGGCTCTAGTTCCTGGTCCTCACACCTTATATACCTTTCTGCTATCACTTCCTGGGATTAAAGGCATGTGTCACCATGCCTGGTGGTTTCCAGTGTGGCCTTGAACTCACAGAGATCTAAATGGATCTCTGCCTCCTGAATGCTAGGATTAAAAGCATGTGATATCATTGCCTGACTTCTGTGTTTAATATAGTGGCTATTCTGTTCTCTGACCCCAGATAAGTTTATTGGGGTGCACAATATATCAATCACAAAACATTATGATTTTTCCCTCCTTTCCCACCTCCCTTTTTCATTTCCCAGCTGCCATGAGGCAGCACCACACACCACTCCCTGCCGTGATGGACTGACTTGTCACAGGATAAAAATCAGTAAAGTATGTGGCCATCCCACCAATGATTGATACCTCCAAAGCTGTTAGCTAAAACAAACTTTTGTTCTTTGTAAGCTAACTGTCTCTAGTATTTTGTAACAGTGACAGAAGACCAACAAAATCAACTTGAACACTGAGCAATTTTACTTAAGGACCGAAGCAGACAGATCTCTCAGAAGAACTACTCCAGTAACTGTGGTGAGGATGATTCTCCCTCTAGACTGAATGCAGTCCTCCTCCCTGATTAGAATTTACATACCTTCAAATTGTACTGTGTTCCATGAGTTAATTAGGAACACGAGGATCAAGGGAAGAGAGTGATCAACTGGGAGTCATTATGGGATTTTTTTCTTATTAATACATAGACTGCTTTGGTCCTTATGACATACAGACTGAAATTGAATGGGCTGTAAATGTATGATGTCATTCATGTGTGGCATGTTGGATTACAGCCTAAAGGTGGGCTTCTTAAACCGAGGTCCTCGGAAGTGGGTGGAAATGTGTCACTGATGACATTTCTCAGCGCCCACAGGGCTGTATGTTAACATGCCCTCTTGAAAGACTAAGCATGCTAAGGTGCAGTACAATTGCATCCTGAGGTACTTTGTACCAGATTCATTAACAATGATGGAATGAAATACTTGAAAGCTTATGGGGAAAATTGGAAGAGAAAAGGAAAATAAATGGGTTTAGAAGAGAGGGAGGAGGGATTATATGAGCAAGGGGGGGGGTCAAGGTCATGATGGGAAAATCTATGGAGACAACTGAACCAAGATCATGGGAACTCAGGAACTCTAGACCGACAGCTGTGGAGCCTGCATGGGACTGGACTAGGCCCTCTGCATGTGCGAGACAGTTGCATAGCTTTGTCTCTTTGAGGGGCCCTTGACAGTGAGATCAGGATCTATCCCTGGTGCATGAGCTGGCTTTTTGGAGCCCATTCCCTATGGTGGGACACCTTGCACAGCCTTGATGCAGGGGGCTGGGGGGTGGGGGGGTTGGAGGGGGGGCTTGGTCCTGCTTCAACTGAATGTACCAGGTTTTTGGACTCCCCATGGGAGACCTTACCCTTTTGGAGGAGTGGATGGCGGGGGGAGCAGGGGAGAACAGGAAGAGAGATGGGAGGGGGAAACTGTGGTTGGTATGTAAAATGAAAATTTTTTAAATAAATTTAAAAAAAGAAGAAAAAAGAAAGGAGAAGAAAGAGAATGCATGATTTTCATGATTAATCTCCTCCACTTACTTTAACAAAACTTTCCATAAAATTTGTCAAAATTTTATTAGAAAAGGCTTTCAGAGTTTGTGTAATTGGCTGGGTGGTGATGGCACTTGCACTTAGTTCCAGCACTTGAGAGGCAGAGGCAGGTGGAGCTCTGAGTTTGGGGCTAGCCTGATCTACAGAGTCAGTTCCAAGATAGCCATGGCTACACAGAGAAACCTCATCTCAAAAAATAAAACAAATTACGTAATTAGACTTTTTAATGTATAGAAGCTCATAAAGGGGGATAAAGAGATGGTTCAGGGGTTTCAGATGGCTCAAGTGTTTGTACAAAAACCTAAATATGAATCCCCAGCATCCAGGTGAGAACCAGGCATTATAGCAGGTGTTTGTAAACACAACGCTGTGAGCATGAGATAGGCACATCCCATGGGCTCACTGGTGAGCCAATATGGGCAAAGTGGTGAGCTTTGGGTCCAGTGAGAGGCCCTATCTCAAAAAAACAAAACAAAACAAAAAACAAAAACAAGATGAAGAGCAATTGAGGGGCAAAGAATGGAGGCATCCAGTGGCCACTCCTGACCCCCACACATGGAGGAGTGCACCCATAAACAGCCCCACTTCCTATGCATTTTCTGCTTTTATACCACACATACACAAATTGACAGACTAATTAATTACTTAAGAAAGAGCCTGGTAACGGGTTGGGTTCCGGGGACAGGTTGGCATAGGGAAATGTGAAGTGAAGTGGTACAAACAGGACCAGGGAAGGTCTCTCTGGTCTCCGGACTGCATGGAATCTCCCCGCAGATGTGCTCTCAAGGACCCTGGACACCGCCCAAGCCCATGGTGAACACTTTGCCTCCGATCCTTCCATCCCAGTCCTACACACAGACACAGACCTGCCCGCCTCAGAAGGCACCTTCCTTCACTGGACATTTCATCAGCTTTACTCCTTGCTCTCCAGTCTCGATATAATATCCTGGGTTTTTGTTGTTGTTGTTCTGTTTTGTTTTCCCTGTTCACAGGCTCAAAACTGCCGTTCTTCCTGGAAGTGGGTTTCCTGTTATCTTTAACAAATGTTAGCAGGGAAAATATCTCCTCAAATACAGCTGTTTGAAGAGCTGTGTCAGGCATTTGGAATTTAACCTTCCACTTAGATGAGAATTTCACTTACGTGTACGTGGTCAGTCTTCTCTTCCATGCCAGATGCTTGGTGCTATGGATCTTTCTGTTCCCAGGGACTTACAACAGTGTCTGACCCCACAGTAGATACTCAGTACGTGTCCCATCAATCGATGAATGACATAATCGACAGGTCATAAGACCAATCTTTTCAGGGTCCCGGCTTCTCCTGCTTTACTCCTGTACCAAGTGTGCCCCTTGCTCTTCAGATCCACCGTCTTCTCTCTCCACTTCTCTGCGCTCTGGCTTGTCCAGTGAGGAGCTTTGATGGAAACTGGAAGGGGACAGAGTGGGGTGAAAGGGTGTGTCCTCCTGTTTCTCTTCCCCTGCATCGTGAGGAAGGGAGCAGTTTTCCTCCCCCCCCCCCAACATCCTAGCTTTGTCTCTCTTTCCGTCCTTGAGAGAAAATATACTCGTTACTTTTCTTATTGCTGTGGCCAAATATCCGACAAGAAACAACTTCAGGGCGGTTATTTAGGCTCACGGGTCAAGGACATGAAATCCATAACGGTGGAGAAGGAACCGCAGCAGAAGTGTGACGAAACCGGTCACTTTATGTCCATGGTCTGGAAGCCGACAATAGACAGGAAGTGGGGTGGGGCTAGATGGTCTTAAGGCCCGCCCCCACTCCGCTGGCCCATTTCCTGCAGTAAGGCTCCAATCCTAAGGTTCTACAACCTTCCAAAACAGTACCACCGGTTGGGGGCAAGTGTCCAAACATGAGCCTGTGGGGGATGTTGCCTACTAAAACCGTAACAGATGTGAACCAAATGGTTTGCTCTAAGGGATGGGGATGTGGCGCAGTGGTCCGTGCATGTCCAAGACCCTCCATTACTCTTGGCAAATCCTCTACACTCGGCCCTCACTCATGTGAACAGATGGAGAATGTCTTCCCCAGAACGTGCCATCTGTTTTGTGTTAAAACACACTGGCTTTGTCAGATACAAAAATATTGGAAAACTTTACACATCTTAAAATATTCGTCAAGAACTGAAATGTTTGCAGTGTGTGATATTTTTATACAAATATGCTATTTTTTTCTAAAGTAAGTTTAATATTTTATATTTGAGGAGGCCTAAAATGCCCTCCCTCCTGATCTCCTATGCTAGCAGGGAAGAAGAACTCTGAGGGACTCTGATCCTGCAAGGGCCAAGATCTCTGCACAGAGCATCAAGCAAGTGAAGAATTTTGGAGGATCAACAATGTACAACAATGCTAAACACATTCTGTGTGGTGTTCACAGACTTCATGACATTTTTCTGTGGGTTTAATATCCTTGATTTATTACTTACACTTTAGCATGTTTACATTTTTAACTGTTCTTTTGGGGCAATAAAATGTCTTTTGGAACTTTCAGAATGTACTCTGAAATTTATATTTTTGGAAAAACTAATTCAGTGGTTCTGTCTGAAAGCCAAGATGGAGACCGTGGGATGACAGCATAGAGTTAAAGTGAAATATTATGTGTTTGAGTTTTTAGCATCTCTTTGTAGATGTGTAGCACAGTCTGGGATGGTGGATGATATACATGATCCTCAGCACCCTAGAAATATGGTGATGGAAGCAGCCTCAGAACTGAAGGCCTCCTAGGCAAAGGCACTACTATCCCTCTGCCCTGAACAGGGCATTCCTACACTGTCCTTCATCAAGCTCTCTAGGGACATCAAAGCATTGAAGTAAGCCATCCACAGTCCTTTCCAAGTCTGGAGTTTTGTATCCTGGTGTCATTACCAAAGAGGGAGGGAAGGAGGAGGGGGGGTATAAGGGAAAGGGAGAGAAGAAGGGACCTTTAGGTATACATCTTGGTCTAGATTAAATTTTTTTACCTGCATCCATTCAAAAAATGTTTGGTCTGAAGATATAAAGACCCATCTCTCTTGATCCCAGTACTATCCCCTCTTTAAAACTTTTGGTGTAGTTTAGCGGGCACAGAGCTTGCCTAGCATGCAAGGATCTCTAGGTTTGATCCCCAGTGCTGCAGGAAAGCAAGTGTGCTGATGAATGCCATCAATTCCAGAACCCACAGGGAGAGAAGTGGTAGAGGAGGATCAGGTCAAGGCATTCTTGGCTTCGTAGTGAGTTAGAAGTCAGTAGGGCAGCTTCTGGTGAGGTTGGCCAAATGTCTACTGATATTTGATATCTAGCTTCCATCAATGTGACACATATGTGGACATATCTGGAAAGAAGAAATATCAATGAAGGAAATGTCTCTGTCCTATTGGCCTGTAGGATGACTGTGGAACATTCTCTTGTTTGATAATTGGTGTGGGAGGACCCAGTCCACCTTGGAGAGTGACACCCTTGAGCAGGTTGTCCTGGGAGGTAGAGGGAAAGTAGCTGAACATGAGCCTGAGAGCAAGCCAGTAGGCAGTTTTTCTCCATGGCTTCTGTTTCAGTTCCTGCCTCTAGGTTCCTGCCTTGAGTTCCTGCCCTGACTTCCCTTCATGATGACCTCTAAGCTGAACACAAATAAACAAACCCTTTCTTCACAAAGCTGCTTTGAGTTGTGGTGTTCATTACATCAGTAGAAAACAAACCAGGATGAGACTGAAGCTGTTTTCCTCCACCAACCTTGCCCTCTTACCTTCTCCTCCACAAGCACTGTCTCATGTGCCTTCATTCTGCTCTTCATCTCTAGACATAGTCCTAAAGACTCAACCTGTAACGTACACAGTGGATCAAAACAGCCTCGCATGTGGGGCAACCCAGGACTGAGTAGGACCCACCCACTGGAGTAAGATCTCAGATTTCCACTTCAGTTTTTACTCCTGGAAAGAAAAAAACATGATGAGAGTAGGAGATGCTCTGTCAGATAAACTAATCAAGTGGACTGTCAAGGTGCTTGCCTTATTCTAGTTGGTTAGTCCCACGAGGCCTAAACTGGGTGAGGAGGATAGATATTCTATACACAAATATGAGTTCTAGGCATCCTGGCTACAGAGCTTGCCCAAAAGACCTGAGATAACTTGGCAAATTTCACACCACTAGCGAGTGGGAAGTCACAGGAGTTGCAGCATGGACAGGTAAGGGGTGCAGTGTGCGGTCCCTCCAAAGACCGAGTGAGGAGCCTGGGAGGCAGCTCAGCTGGAAAACTGCTTGCCATGTAACACGAGAACCGGAGTTCAGATCCCCAGACCTGATAAAACCTGTGTGTGGCAGAATGCATGGGTAACCCCAGTGCTGGCGGTGGACAAGGAGAGACAAGCTTACCTTTGAGGATCACTGTCCAGTTTCTCCAACAGAGTTAGAGAGTTTCAGGTTCTATGAGAGACCCTTCCTCAAATAGTAAGGTAGCAAATGTTTGAGGAAAATGCCCAATGTTAACCTCTGGCCTCTAAACACACACACACACACACACACACACACACACACACACTATGCACACACACAGATATACACTGTATGCACACACACATACTATATGCACATACACAGACACACACAGGCATGCACACACACGCTATATGCACACATGAACACATACTGGTGCACACACACAAACAAGTGAAAGCATAACTTAAATTTCTCTCTCCCACATGATTGTCTCATAAAGATTCTAAAAGGATTATAAACTCTAATGAAAGTGGTCTCCTAGCTTGCTTGCTGTGATGAAACATTGGCCAAGAACAACCTGGGAAAGAAAGGGTGTATTGGCTCACAGGCCCTGACCCCACCCTCGTATGCTGAGGAGAGTCAGGGCAGGAGCTCGAGCAGGAACAGAGGAAAAGACCTTGGGGAAAGCTAGTTGCTGGTTTGGTCCCTATGCCCTGATCTGCCTGCTTTTTTTTTATACCACCCAGAGCCACCTTTAAGGAGTGGCTCCACCCACAGTGGGCTGAGCCCACCCACATAATAATTAATCAAGGTCATGCCCCCACAGACCTCCCTGCCGGCCAGTCTGATGGAGGCACTTTCTCACTTGAGGTTCCCTCTTCCCAGATGACCTTGGCTTTGGTCAAGTCTACAAAAAACTAGACGCTCGAGTGGAAGCCATGCTGCTGCTCTACTTGCCCTTCAAAGCCACATCAGTAGTGACCACCAACTTGTCATTGGCCCTTGATCAACATAATAAACAAGGGCCCTTATGGTAGAGCATCACCAGTTTCTGGTGATGAAAATGTCTTCATCTCCCATGATTTTGGTAAAATCGGGATAGGGCATGTAGTTCTGAGAAACATAAGACTCTAATCATCTCCTGTAGAGCAACTTACTGCTGTTCTAGTCCGCTGTGTCAAAGAACATGCTGGCAATCCGCTATTTAAACCCTGCGACGCTTGTTTAACTTACAGCTCAGGGAAAGATGTCAAGTATTAGAGAAGGGTGCCAAGAGACTGCTTAGCCCAGTTATTATTAGCTGACCTGAAAGTTTCTGGCCAGTTTACAGGACTTGAAAATTTCCAAATTGGATTTATATATGTTTATTATACTATAATCAGAAAATCAAAGTGGAAGGGCCTGAAGAAAGGCTGTGCTGTTAGATATTTTTGGAAGGCTTGTTTTGTCCTCAGAGCCAGAGCAGCCTTGGAGTTTTGCAGCCTGTTGTCTTCGGGTGTTACCTCCGAAGGCCGCTGTAGAATCTGCAAACTGGTTCCCCATGACTCACCTTCAGCAGATTCACAGTCAGCAGGTTATAAGAAGGAACAATGGGTTATTGTGGGATAAAAAGGATGAAAAAAGGAGCATTTCCTGGGTAGGTTTCAATCCTAGTGATGTTCCTGCCTCCAGTGACCAGGGACCCAAGGAATGAGCCATCTGGTCCCTTTTGTCAACTTCCTGCCTTTATCAGAGGAAATGAAATGTGTCCTTGTAACCCTTCAGTCCCACATAAACAGTATCGGGAAAACGGTCAAAATCCTGCAGTATGAGGAACACTTACATTTTTTACACATTTTTTTCTAATTATTTTAGTAATATCACTGACTTGTAAAGCCGCAAACAACCCCAATTCAAGTGGTTACTGATGATGGATAGTGACAACCAGTTACTGAAGGTACAGTAACACTCACTGCAGGCCAGGAACTGGTTTATCCATTTGTCACATATGTTATCTCAACGCCTCCTAAAAGGATTCATGGAGCAAAGTGAGAAAACCATATAACCCTTGTCTTCTTAAGTTACTATTGATAGTCTTCTGCAAGCATGGTCAATGACTTTATTGTTGTTATATGAGACAAGGTCTCCCTCTACAAGCCATGCTGGCTCAGATTCCTGACAGTCCTGCCTTAGCTTCTCAGATGCTGGGAGTGCAGGTGAGCGCACCATAGCCTGCTCATGCAACGGCTTTTGAAAAAGAAGAGCAGTGATCCTGACTAGTCCTCCATCACAGGCATGTTGCCTGTTGTCCTGTGACCTCCCGAATGTGGACATGGGTGAACCCCAATCATCACAGTTTGATTTACAGTTTTCCAACTTCACAGTATCCTCAGAGTCATATACAGCCAGTTGAAACCAGGCCCTAAATTTTGAATAATGAACTTTTGCCCAACTGGCAATAGGCAGAGCCAAGCACCCACAGAAGTTCCTTGCTGGTCATGCCATCTTGAGGACGAACAACCACTACTTTACACAGCCAACTGTACTGGTCAGGTACCACATTTACCAAGTTAAGTGACTGAATGCATTTTTGGTTTATATTTTCAATTTACAGTAGGTTTATTTGGAAATGAGTTGAGGAGCATTTTTCTTTGCATGCATGTACCTGGGAATAAAACAAATTATATAGAACATGGTATTGATGAACACATGAAAAAATATGCAAAAGTGATGTAATAAAAGAGCTTTACAAGGGCATCCATGGAGAAGATACGAAAGTGTCTTCCATGGAGGAACTTGTGTTTACTAAGGGCACTCGGCCAAGGGTGTTCACATCCTACCAACAGTTGAAACATACAGATTTTGACCTCATTTTACCACTGAGGAGGTCTAGGATAAAGACAGTGATCTGGCACAAAACCCCATGGCCATCTATGAACTAGAATGCCTCACACTCTCAAATGATCAACTTACTTATCACAATAACCTCCTCATTTCCGGCTTGCTCCCCACAGCTGTTTTGTTATTGTTCTTGGTGCTGTTGCCATTTCCTGTTTCCATTTATACAAGGATACTTTCAGGAAGTGCCTCCCAGCCAAGATCAACTCACCCTCCTTCAACTCTCAGCAAATGGTATAGGATGGGTTGACTCTGCAGCATGCAGCCCTCACAATCGGATGACACTGAAATCATCTGGTGACCTCCGGAGCACTTCCCATGCCAAGCTCTCACCCACTGACATTCTGACTTCTCGGATACACGCTGGGAAGTGGGAATTGATGTACGTCAAGGCTCCGCAGGTGATGATACATAGCAGAGCTTGGGAACTGCAGCTCTGTGGGCAGTTCAGGCTTTTCTTGGGCTGGACCGCCAATGCTCCTTGTCCCTGACGTCAGACTGTATTGACTATCCCTGTTTCTTCCAGATAGATGAAGTGCTTCTACCAGTCCATGAAGGTGTTAGCCTTGGTCATGGTGGAAAATGCTGTAGACATTCCTGGGGATGTTCACATCCAAGTGCCCAACTTCTCTAGCACCTGCTCCTTTCCTATGCGGCCTCCTTTGAGCTGTGGATTGCCTTCACTCTGCCTAAGTCTCCTCTTGATTGGTCATGCTTACTTGTTTCCCTAGTCATCGTACTATCCCCCAACCTCAGGTTCAAGTTAGTCTCTTTCCAGTCACCATGTTCTATATTTCCAAATCACTTTCTTTGCAGCTGCCTCTAACAGTGATTCACCTGTCTTGGACCTCTGCTTCTCCTATCTCCTCTTCATGGTACTTTACCCACAACCTTCTTATCTAGTTTAGGTTTTTGTATTTATCGATAGAATTGCTTATGTTCAATATAATCATGCTCAACTCTCTTGCCACTGCCCCCCCCATCCTCTGGAAACTCCAAATATATTCACCCATGCTCACTGGACTCATTTTTATGATTCTTAGCCTCAAATGGACACAAGTGCTTCTAGGCAATTTTACACAGTTTTCATGCATTAGCTCTGAGATGATGACTGAGATTTTTGCTCTTCTGAAAAGACAATGCGTTTGGAGAGAACATTCAAGACTCTACCACAATTTATTACAGTCTTCGCCTTTACTCAGGAGTTTAATTCAACCTTCTATTCTGTATGGGACCCTCCTGCACTTACCTGCTCCACCTCTTACCCTTGCACACTGTATTCTACCCTTCTCACTGGCTTATGGTTACACCTGTCTCCCTAGAGATCATTCCAACCAGTATACAAATGTGCTGGTCCTGGGGCAGTGCCTACTAAAGGAAGAAACTTTCTCCAGGTCTTGCATCTGGCTGTGTCTACTGCCCCTCCACTCACACCCCCACCTGTCTTTACTGAGACAAAACTCACAAATTAGCTGTTATCCTTCTCTTTATTTATAGTCATGTCAAATCCTTGAGCATCTTTTTATTTTCCACTTGAACAAACTCCAACTGGCCTATTGTTCCCAAACTGAAACATCTTTTCTTTAGGGCCAAACTGATTCTATCTACAAAGATCTACAGATTGAGTCTTAGACTTCATCTTCCTGGACCTGTCAGTAGTTTAGACAACTGAGCACTCCTGACTTCCTCAGCTTTTTCAACGGACCCCACATTATTCAAGCGCCTTCCTTTGTAGTTGGGTCTTCTCTGTCTTATTGGTTCTTCCTCGTGCTCATCCAATCTTGGACTTTTTAGGTTTCTTTTCTCTTTCTCTTTCTTTAGATACTTACTCTCAGGTCATCCCAGTCCTTGGGTTACAATTTCTATGACAAAATCATCCACTTTTTTAATTAAAAAATTTATATGTAAGGGTCTTTTCCCTGAATGTATGTCTGTGCACCGTGCGCACATGACCTCCTGGTGCCCAAAGAGGCCTGAACAGGGCATCAGATCCCCTGGAATTGGAGTTACAGAATTTCCAAGCCACCAAGTGGGTGCTGAGAATTAAACCCACATCCTACACAAGAGCAGATGGTGCTCTGAACTGCTGACCCATCTCTCCAGCCTCCTCTCAAGTTTCCTGTTCTCAGCCCAACCTACTTCCCTGAGCTCATCTCCAATGACTGCCTGCGCAGCACCATCGGTTGGATGTTAGCAACCCCCTCAAAGTGTGTGTGCTCACGTATAAACTCCTAACTGTTGTGGGTAGCACCTCAAAGTGTGTGTGCTCAAGTATAAACTCCTAACTGTTGTGGGCAGCACCTCAAAGTGTGTGTGCTCAAGTATAAACTCCTAACTGTTGTGGGCAGGTGGCTTTGACTCTTGACTTGGACACTTGAGAACAAAGGATAGGAAAGGTGATACCTAGGAAAAACAAACAGCTCTGAAATTATTTTGACTCCTGAAAGAAATTGTTTTCCTCCCTGCCTCCTTTTTCGTTTTTTTTTTTTTGTTGTTGTTGTTGTTGTTGTTTTTAAGGGAAAAAAAACTATTCCTGTCCTTAATTTGTCAAACTGAAAGAAAATGAAGTTATAGAAAGATACAGAGGAGTAAATTCCACTCTGATAACCCCCATTGTAAGTTACATCTTATCAGCTTCATTCACTGAGGGCCCTCCCTTGGCTGCTCTTCTGTCTCACAAATCATATTCAGTTCACAGACATAGTCTGTGTCATCTCAGTCTAACCCTGCCTTCCTTCCTCTAGACCACCACCTTAAGATGCCACTGTAGTAGCAAACAGATGGTAGCAAATTGCTACTTATATACTTTTATGCTAAATTAGCTATTCCCACACACACATACACACACACTATTCCCTTTATAGTTGATCCTCAACCCATCACTAGAAGTTTCTCTTTGAAATATGAGATATAACATACATCTCCCAACTATAGGATTTCTTGACCTAATCCATGCCTGATTATTTAAAATAGAGAAAAACCAAAATTTCACATTTAAGGGCCAGTTACTAAAGGTGCTTGCCTCCAAGCCAGATGACCTGAGTTTGATACCCAGGATCAGATGGTAGAAAGAGAGAACTGACTTCCAAAAGTCTGCCTGTGATCTACAGACATGCACAATGTCATATGTGTGCTTGCACCCCCCACACACACATTATGCACATACAAATACAAAATAAATATAAAAATATTTTGTGATTTATATTTATGTGTATGCCTGCATGTATGTCTGAACCATGTGTGTACAGTGATCTTGGAGGCCAAAAGAAGCTCTCAAATTGCCTGGAACTGGAGTTACAGATGGTTCTGAGCCACCATGTAGGTGCTGGGAACTGGACCTGGGTCATCTGCAAGAGCAGCTAATGCTCTCAACAGCTGAGCAATCTCTCTAGTCCCTAACAGTTTTCTTTTTTTAATTATTTCTGAAGGAAGTTGTTTTCTCTCTGAACAATGAAAATGATCAAATGTAGAAGACAAATGCAAACTCCAAACATCATTTCTCAGGAGCCCCAGGAATCCTCACAGCTCTTTCCAATGGATGATCATTCCAAATTCCATTGCATGTCCGCTGTACCAATTCTTTAAGGTGGTTAGTTGAAAAAACAATAACAATAAAAACAAAATGAAACAAAACAACTCACCAAACAAAACAAAAACAGGTGGAAACTGATTCCTGCAACCCACCTTTTTGGCATCTTCACCCTTTGATGGTTTCTAGGGTAAGACCAGACTAGCATGTCTATGGCTGTAATTGATTCATTCCACATCAAATATTTCAGTTTTGCTGCTTCTACAGAAATGAAAGTAACAGATGATCAATCTCAGCTGTTCGATGGCTGTTCTTGTGTCCCTTATGATGTCTTAAATGCTCAGCCTGGTCTTCCTGGAAGAAGAGACAGATAGGCAGGTCTGTTCTGTTCCTCTGGATCAAAGAGGGCAGTCTTAAAGACTGCAATGAGTTTGTCAACAGGAACAGCTTCTGTACTCATCACATCCTGCACACCTAAGGCCACTGATGTTTCCTTCCAATTACATACAAGGTCTTCATCTGATGACAGCAAGAATATGAAACAAGAATTAAGAAAACACTCCTCTATCTCTTGAACTTGGGAGGTGGAGGCAGGAGGGTCAGGAACTCAAGGTCATCCTCAGCTACATAGTGAGTTCAAGGCTGGCCTGGACCATATGAGAAAGAATCCTCTCCCTTAATCACAGAAGGTCCCAAAAAATTAATGGTTAAAAGACAAATAAATAGCACCACCCAAACTAACTGGGTTCTTTTCTAATGTAAAGAGGCTGTTCACCAAGCCAAAGTGGACTGGGTGGGGGGTAGGGTAGAGATGTGTGTGGGTTGTTATGTCCTTGAGGCCTCAACCCTACAGGAAGAACTACAGACAGCTAAGGAAAGCTGAGAGTGGGAGGAGAGGTGGCTTTCCTCAGAGAAGAGCAGAATAATTGGTTGTCCAGTGCTAAATAGTCATCCCTGAGAACATACACAATGGTAGCATTATATGGACCGAGCAGGTTGTATATAGAAATACATATGTATATACATATACATATATGCATTCAATGACAATTAGTGAAAAAGGAGACCATGAATTTGAAGGAGGATGGGGAAGGGCATATTGGAGAGTTTGGAAAAAGGAAAGGGAAGGAAGAAATGATGTAATTAAATCAGAAACTCAAAATTAAATTTAAAAAAAGAGGCTGTTCTTCATTTTAGCAAATGAAGCTGCACTCCTTGAAGATGCTCTGAGCTTAAAAACCCTTTGTCTGCATGGACTTTGAATTATCACCTTGTAGTTTTCTAAAGATTCAACTTTCAGTACATATTTCCAAAGAAAACAAGGAACTTTCATTCAGATGTGGGTGAAACCAAACACAGACATTGTCATCTGAGAAGCAGAATTTATAGGAAAAATAGAGAAAAGATGGTTCTGGGATAATTCAAATCCCAAAGGAAAACAAAACACACATATCACTTAGCAAATTTCCCACCAGAAACAGGGACACTTGCATGGAGACAGGAAAAGGAAAAAGAAAAAAAAAAAGAAAAGAAAAAACAAACAAACAAATTGAATGGAACCCAAAAACAATAGATAAGAAGGTTTAGATGAAAGAAAACCATTTGTTGTTGTTGTTTATAAAAAAACCTTTCAGATAGGCTTAAGACTGTTCACAGGTGACAAAAAATTAATCCATTATTCAAATTCAAAGGTTGTTGCAGATATTTTTGTTAATGTTTTAGTAGGTACTTTAAAAGGTGTGTTTATTTTTATTGTATGCATGAGTGTTTTGCCTGCATGGAATGAAAGTGCACCACGTTCATGTTGTGCCCACAGAAGCCAGAAAAGGGCATCAAGTTCCCCAGAACTGTAGTTACAGATGGTTGTGAGCTGGCATGCGGGAACTGAACCCAGGTCAGTGTTGTTGACTAATGGGGCATCTCTTCAGCCCCATGAATAAATATTTTAATAATTTATATGGCAAAAGCAGGGCTATGAGAAATAGAAAAACAGACAATAGAAACTTCAGTTATTAGCAGTTACAATCAATAAGTGCCATTATCAAAATTAAAAGGTAAACACCAGAATTGAAAAACATTTCCAATAAAGATCAATTTAGATAATGTCTTTAATGTGTGATGATTTTCTTATGTATCTAATAGCAGCATATCACACACCAAATTGAACTGGGGAAGAATGACAGATGAGCAGTTCTCAAAGGAAAGAATTTAAATGTTTGCCAAACAGATGAAACTGGTACCCTCCCTGTTAAACTGGTACCAACAATATGACGAAAAGGAGTATTTCACTTTCAAATTAAAAGCTACCCTTGTGATATTGTCAAACTGCCTCCTAAATATTTATATTTATGCCCCACATCTGGACTGCTCTCAGCTTTAACCAGAGAAGCTTCTTTTTGTAGCAGGCAGAGGCCAGCACACTCAAGTGGTCAAAGTGCTGGAAACAAGTGACTGTTGAGAGGTCAGACCTCAATGGTACACCTATGTCAAGCCCTCCACTGTGGCATGAATCTTAAAGGATCTTGCAATTCCTCAGCTGATCCTGTTTCTTCAGACTGGAAGCTTCTGAGTCCTCATCCAAATGGATCTCAGCTGAACTGCTGCTCGAAAGCCTAAAAGCTTAACCAACTAGTTCTTGATCCTCACACCTAATATACCTTTCTGCTTCCTGCCATCACTTCCTGAGATTAAAGGCTCTTGTTATCATGCCTAGCTGTTTTCACTGTGGCTTTTAACTCACAGAGATCCAGAGGGATCTCTGCCTCTGGAATGCTAGTATTAAAGGCATGTATGCCACCATTTTCTGGCCTCTACATCTAGTGGCTGTTCTGTTCTCTGACCCCAGATAAGTTTATTAGGGTGCACAATATTTTGGGGAACACAATATTATCACACTCCACCGTCACCACCAGCAAGGCTCAGGAAGAGGGGACAGAAAGAATGTAAGAGAGAGAATGATGAGCAGTGCTGGACACGCTGTCTTCTGGACATGACATGGCCTCTGCACCAATGAATCACAGCAACCATGGTTGCCTGCACAAGTCCTGCACAAGATCAAGCTGGTCTCCAGCCAAGCACAAAGGGGGCACGTGCATGAGGCCCCAACTCCAGCTGAGGAGCTATTATTGGCAGCTGATGGGGAGAGCCAGCCTTTTTCCTTGTAGATATAACCATGGTAGGTTACCCATGCTTCAGTGGATGACATCACTCCCATTGGCTATGTGCAGGTAGGCAATAATGAATGGACTCAATGAGATAGTAAGAAAAAAGTTCATGAAGTTAGGAAGAGGACATGCTCTGGGGGTCTGGTGGGAGTTGAGGAAGGAAATGGTGGGTGTGTATTATTGAAATGCATTGTATGCATGTATGAAAGTCTCAAAGAATAAATAAAAATGTTATTTAAAAACTATACATAGTGACCTTGTCTCAAAAAAAGAAATAATAATAGTAATAATGAAATTAAAAAGCTATATATGTGAACACTCATCAGCAACACAGAATGGCAAAGCTGGGCATGAACACACGTATATTTACCAAGACATCTTTAATAATGATACAAAAGCAGAAACAAGTCAAAAGTCCAACAACAGATGAACAATCAGACAAGTGAGAACCAGTAAGATTATCCTTTTGTGTAAAATTCATGCTGAGAAAAATAAAATATCTGGCATATGCTTGTAACCCCAGTACTCAGGTGGCTGAGGTAAGAAGACTGTCATGATTGTCATGGGTGCTGAGAATCGAACCCCGGTCCTCTACAAAAGCAGGCAATGCTCTTAACCATTGAGCCATCTTTCCGGGCCCATTTTCTTTATCTTTTTAGTTGGTTAAAGCATTTTCTCACAAAGATTCTGTGACCACGTGGACAAAAGAGGTAAAACTCAGGGGATTCCTGAGGTATTTCAAATGTACAAGCATTCTGTGTTTCCCATGATTACAGATGGAAAACAAAATTGCATTGTAATTGCATGTGTGCTTCTTAGAGACAAAGGGAATGATCCTCTCACAGTGGTGGTGCTGAGGAGGGCCTGCCTATGTGCTATGCACATAGGAAACACAGTACCTTCCTATGACCTAAAGAGACTCCACAAATGACCACAGATGGTTTATACTATGAAAGCTGAAATACTTAGATGAAGTCCCATGGAAAAAAATCTTATTTTGAGAAAAATATTAAGTAGAGGAAGCAAATAAATAGTAGGTTGCCAGTAAACTCCACATGAAAGCTTCGGTCCTGAATCTGACTCTGTAAGATCTCAACATTGAGACTTTCTAACTCAAAGAAGTCTGAAGAGAAGATGGGAACCAACATGAGCTCAAGGTCCCAGGGTTTATTATCCCACTGTCATGAACTGGGGAGATTAATGGAGACTCTCTCATAAATGTTTTAGGTGTGCCAAAGAAATTACTTGTCACCAAACCTTTGTATAAAGAAGCCAGGCAGTGTGCCAGGAAGGATCCTGGTTGGTGACCAGCACTGTAGCCATCCTGTTCATTAACTGCAGGAGACCATACTTCTAGCTACCTTCAGCTGTCAAGTTGACATGGCCCAAAGTTTCAACTGGGGAGGATTGCCTCCAACAAATTGCCCTGTGGGCATGTCTGTGATATATTTTCTTGATTCCTAATTGAATAGGGAGGGCCCAGCCCACTGTGAGTGGTACTCTCCCTAGGTAGGGGGTCCTGGGGATGGAGGGAGCAAGCCAGTAAGCAGCATTTTTTCTAGGTTTCTGTCTCAAGGTCCCGTCCTGAGCCTCTCCTTTTGCTTTCTTTACTGGTGAACTTAACCTGTAAGATGACATAAACCTTTCCTTTTAGCATTTGCTTTTGGTCAGAATGTTTTACCACAGCACAAGAGTGCAAACTAGAGCAATACTCACCCTCAGAGGTGGCTCCATTTTCACTGTACACAAGGTAGAATGGCCTGCAAAAGGAGAACAGTACAAGTCCTAAGCAAGCTGTGAAGCTACTGCTTGTTAGACCTGTGAGCTGGGGTGATGACACTGGGGTCAAGAGCACTTGTACAATTAATTACCAGTCACAAAGTTTGGATCCCAGCTTCTACGTTACAAGCAGGTGTCTGGTGCACCTTGGCAATCCTAGTTACATGGAGGGCAGAAACAGGGAGGGTCATGGGGGCTTGCTGGCTTGCAGCCTTGCCTAGGAAGCACGAACTCCTAGTTCAGAGGGAGATCTTGCCTGCAGGAGAATAAATGGAGAGTAGCAGAGGGGCACCCGACTCCCACTGCTGGTCTCTGCACTAGTGCCCTAGCACAGATCCTTACCCTCAAATGAGTTCTCTCTCTCTCTCTCTCTCTCTCTCTCTCTCTCTCTCTCTCTCTC